CGTATTGTGCCTCAAGCTCCCCCCGCCCCACCTCGCCTCTAGGCACGCACGGTGCCTGGCTCGAGTTCCCGCCCCCCTGCCCGAGGCCGTGATTGTTAATGATCACGACAGATTCATAATAAAAAGAAGACAAGAACAAAAACTGAGTTGGGCAGAGAGTAATTCAAACCTTTCACAATGAACCAAGGTCTTGTTTTATCCCATCAATCTTGATCATCTGCATGTGTGGATCTGAGTAGCTTCACAAATTAATCAAGAAAAAGGAGATTAGAAAAGGAACACTTATAAAATCAAGGAATGAACAGACATCCTTAAGGAATTTATCACATTTAAAATGATCCGGTAAATTGGAAGGATTTTAATCCATGTTGTTACTGATCATGGTAAATGGGCAATGGATTAAAACAGAGTTAATCACCCCTGTGCCTCTTTCTGATTCAAGCTTTGCAGATAAAACAAATCAGATGGTGCTATTAATGTGGACATCAGGAATGGGAAAAATAGTACTCTTAACTCGCAATCTAAAGTTTAAATGATAAAAAGGTTTTGGGGGGATAGCAGGCCAATCAAATGAAGAATGATGGGTTGCATGTACAAAACAAGAAGAATGCACTCATAAGAACTATTAAGAAGTAACCAAATGATTCAAACTACATATGCATCATATCTCTCATGTGCAACATAATTTGGAGTCCCACAAGTGGTAGTCAGCCCTGACTCCCTGTTGGGGATTTGAGAAAATTCCCAAAGTCAGAAACTTCTAATTTTCCAATCATCAATTGCATCAATGTGTTGTTGAATGTTTTTTAGGGAGGAGAGGTTTAGGCTATGTTTGAAGCAAAGCAAAATTCTAAGTAGTAACAAGAGAGAGTTAACAAATTATTCAATTAATCGATTAATCAACTAAGCTCCCAACCCTAGTTAAAAGATTAAGATAGATAATCTTCACAAGAGATTTTCCAATCTGCGATCTTGGTGGTAAAAACCTTTGCTGTCACAGTGAGCAATTGCAAGCTATAATCTGGAAGCAAAGCAAAATTCTATGTTTCAAGCTAAATGATTGACTCAAAAGGCAAGGCCAATTTTTTTTTGTTCTTGTTTTTGCATACACTTAATAGCAAAAGAGACCTAAACAAACCCCAAAATATCAACTTTACCTGCTAGCCAAACCATAGTGTCTAAATATGTTGTACAGATGTATGTCTAGGTTGATTTAGGTTGAAGAATCACAAAACAAAGGGAAAAATGAAAAAGAGCAATCTCATATGTTGCATCGATCATGAGAATTACTATTGGTAGTTGTTGGTGTCTACTATTACATTGCAATATGCACAATTCTCTGCTTAGCTATGCTAGAAATTAAGGTTTGACTGTGGCACTTCATCCCTTATGTAGTCATTTGTCCCAGTGTTTCTTCACTGACGTTATCATGTGCCTTGATTATGTTACAACAATAGCATACGTACTTTCACAAATAGGATCTGGGAAACACAAACCTTACTCTACAAATGGATTGTTTTAGAGGTCTTCAAAGCAGGGTTGCAAGAAATTATTATGACATAAAAATCACCATACAAAGTGTTACGACCCGATTTCGAAAATTAAGGTTTCGAAACCATTTTCGCAACTTTTGGCAATTTTTGTAAAATATGAAAAAATTTATGATATGGAAGTCGCCACTTAATTTTTTAGGAAAAATTAAGAAAACCATTTAAAAAGGAAATTGCAAGAGAACATATTAAATAAAACCTTTAATAAACCAAAGTCGGGTAAGGGTTCAAATAATTCTCTAAGGAAGGGTTTAGGCATCTTAGAGAATCCGCTAACACGCGGTTGACCGACGGATTTAAAAGTTGGCTAACTTTAAAAGATAAATTTAAACTATTTAAGAAATCTTTATGAGAATGAATATAGACTAGTTTATAATTATCAAGTAATGGAATATTTAAAAATTAAAATTAAAAATCAAAAAATATTTTTTAACTTAATAATCTATCCGAGTTAAAGATTTTGAACCAAATGGCTAGTTCAACTTCATTAACGTGGATTCAAAGCCCTTTTAATAACTATGAAGAACATGAAAGGTTCTTAAGTTATTCCATAAGCTTAAGTCGCCTAGAAAATAAACCGTGTTGATAAATAATTAGGCGAACCAACCCCTTGAAAAGGAATTTGATAAAGGAAATTGATAGATAATGTTAACTCTTATGAGGATTCATCCAAGTCAGTAAAAACGTCAGAAAAATGTTAGCATTCATGATGAAATTAATACTGAGGAAATAAACATAAACAGTGAATTATAAAACTGAAATTTCCAGCCCATATTCGACCATTTTGGGGGCTGAAATTGCTGCGAACTGCTGCCCCATTCCTTATGGGTTTTAACCCAATTTTGCTCTTCATGTTTCAGCATTTTGAGCTGTTGCTGCTGCTGTTTTAGTGAACTTTTGAGAGTCCAAAAATCATCAATTTTCAGCCTTTTCAAGGCTGCTGCTGCTGCTGCTTCGTTAATGATGGGTTTTAACCCAAATTTTTGCTCCTCATTTTAGCTCTTTGGAGCTACTGTCGCTGCCACTGATCCGCCGGTATTACTTGGTTTAAAGGAGGGTCGACTCAGAGAGAAAAATGCAAGAGATAGGGAGTCCAAATGAACTCGAATAAGAGAGTGTTCATGCGAAGGAGAAAGAGGAAACAGAAATTAGAATCAATACGAAATCATATTAAGCTAAAGCTGATAACTTAATATGCCTATGGTGACTGTAAATGTGCAAAATTTAAAGCATCTATTCATATTAAAATTTAACAGTACATTAGAGACCATATTAGGCATTACAAGCAGACACCAAATCTAAGAAAAGAAACTCCCTTTATTTTAAATCAATGTATACGCATAATATGTCGCTCAAATTTATTGACAACAAATCCTTGAGTTCAAAAGAATTTCAAAGGAAACATGGTGAGTTAACTTGTTGCCAAATCGACCAAAAATAACAGATCATATAACCATTAATAATTCATAGTCTCTCAAATCTGATAATATGGTGAACCGGACAGATTTTCAAAGCAAAGAAAGCTAAACAAATATATCCAAACTCAAACTAGTCTTTAAAGCATAGGATTTAAAGAGATAGTTAGAGCAAAAGACTACCACAAAAAGCTTTACGAGGAGATGAGCAGGGAACATTCAATACTAAATAATACATCTCAAATAATCTGTTTAAGACACAAAATGGAAAGGAACTGCTAGATGAGCTCACATTTAGAAATCAAAAGACACCGACATCTATTTTGAGAAGCAAAGAGACCTTGAAATAATTTGCATTATACGGAGGAATTAAAAGAAAACTTAACCAACCAAACTAAAAAAAAGAAGATGTCTAACATAAGACAAACAAGAAGCTTCTTATCCATTTCCAATACAATTAAGGAAACTAAAACTATTAAGAGCAAATCACGGGCATTTAAGAAACTATAGAGACAAGAATAAGATACTAAGACCTTAGTTTTAAATCTAATTAACCAATTTACATATTCGCGTTTTCAAATCAGTGAACTGTTAGACATAAAACAAGAATTTAGCATCTACACTAGAAATTAACACCTAGAGTAGAAACCATACAAAACATGGATAAGTAGTGCAGTACAGGAAACTTAACAGCACAAAAATAAAGAAAATTATGAGACTAAACCCATATAAAACAACAAAGAAATTATACTATCCAAATGCTCGAATCAACTCAAGGAGAAAAAAAAATAAAAATTTACCTTTCGCCGAGCAGCGAACCAAGACGAAGAGCTCGAGAAAAACACCACACCTTCAACTCGACAACCAAGACAAGAGAATTTTGAACTATGAACTGAGAGCTCCCAAAACCTTTTCGAGGGTGCTCTTCAGTCTCCCCAAAAAACCCGTCCCCTTGAACAGTGAATGGGGTGGGTTTATATAGAAACCCAAGAATCCCAAAAATGGACGAAATATCGATGTGGGACTGTTGCAAATTGAAAATCATTTGAGAAGCGATGTGGGAGAGGCCGAAACCTCCAATTTTCGCAGTGAATAAAGTGCAAGAGCTGGAGAGTGTACGAATTTGCAACGAAATTGAAAAGGAAAAAGGAAATTGGAATGGACCACACCATGGTTGCCTCCGGAACCTCCGCGTGTCTTTATGCTCGTGCTAAGCACGCGGATTGTACGAATTATGAAGTAGAAAAGGGGAAATTTGAGGCGGCAAATTGGATTTGGGAGTTAGAATTCATAAGGCTGCTGGTGCCTTTTTTTTTGGTTGAGAAAGAGGAGGGGAAGAGTAATAAAGGGGTGGGCAGGATCTTTTGAGGGATTTGGGCCAAAACTTGGGCTAATTGAGTACTGTATTGGAAGTTGAAGGACTTGGTCCTTTGACCATATCCTAAATAAATCGCAAGCGAAATAAATTATGTTTTTAATTAACTATTAAGCTTCTTAACCTTTAACAACACACAATAATTATTTCGAAAATAAAAGGTTTTAGTTAAATTGTGAATTAATCAATTTTAAAGGAAATAAGATGCGTACTTAATTAAAACCCTATTTTTCTGGTAAAAGTGATTTTCCAAATATTTATTCAAAATTTGGAAATTATATAAATCTATATATTCTAAGTATATTGAGATATTTCATAGTAAAAATGGAAAATTGCATTGAATAATGATTTCAAAAAAGTATTTATGATTTTTTCAAAATAATTACTTCAAATTGTTTGAAATTTAAGAATCTTGAAAATTAATTAAATACTGGAGGGCCAAAATTGGGTGTCAACACAAAGCAGATGATGTAACAAACACATTGAGGAATAAAATTTCCTTTTATATTTGACAATGCTTGAATATCTATTAACTTTCTATTATAATTCTTGGCCATCATATCTTCTTATCTAAGCTTACGTTAATCACTTCTCGAAATTCTTTTTTAATCTCTCTTAACCGTTGCTATACTTGCAGCTACTGTTCAAATTTCCAAATCATCTAACTTGATTCCCTACATATTTTCAGGCTGGAACAATAGTTAAGAGATTAAGGTAGATAATAATCTTCACAACAGATTTTCCTATCAGCGATCTCCGTGGTAAACACCCATGAGCAATTGCAAGCTATAATCTGGAAGCAAAGCAAAATTCTATGTTTCAAGCTAAATGATCCATAAACTGATAAACCTAATTCCCAATTCCTACCAGTTGATTTCGAGGTTACATATAGATTATTCAAATAATCCATCAATCAACTAAACCCCCAACCCTAAGTCAGAGGAAAAAGTACCTGAATACGAGCAGTGGCCTCCGGACGGGATTCAAGAAGCATACCAATGTCTCTCCTCATTTGCCTCGATCACAACCACCTCCCTCTTGTTTCTCAGCAATTTTACTCTCACCACCTTCATCTTCGCCTTTGTCTGCTGCATACACACACAAAAACTTGATTTCTTTTATTCCAAGAAGAAGTAAAATTGAGAGGAGAATTGGGAAATTCACCATTTTAGAGAAAGAAGAGAGAAATTCACCCATGAGGAGCGTGTGTGTGAGAATATTCGGTAGTGAAGAAGAGAAGAGAGTTTTGTATGTGTGAGTTGTAACGGTCGATTATTAGAATAATTTAAAAATGGATGACGTGGCGGTCTTTAATATAACAGTATCTTTATTTCTTTCTTTATAAAATGTTTTAGTTCCCCTCTTCACTTCAATTTTTTTTCTTTTATTAATTTTTTTAATTTTAATCTTTTCAGTTTTAATCATGGAATCTAATTTATGACATTGTGTGACTATTTATTTTGAGATATTATTCTTTTTGAGCAAATTTAACGATATGCTTTGTGTAAATTAGTCAAGCTGAGTGAATTTGCTAGTAAAATTGATGGACATAAATTATACTTAAAAGTACATTGATTGATTTGTGTTTATATGAACTTGCTCAATCCTCCTATAATGACCTAAATTTTGTTCTCTTTTTATTTTGTTCTCCGCGATCTCTTGGAAAAGTTGTTATCAAAATGAAAATAATGGATTTTCAAGAAAGGAAGCATTTATGGCTAAATGCATTTCATATTACATAATTTTCACTTTATATGAAGTCATTTCCCTTTTTAAATGTTCTCTTTTAATTTCCTATAAATGTACAGAATCAAGAGGACTAGATTCAATGACTGGTGTATTTACCATCAGACAAATCAAAGCTGCCACAAATAATTTTGACGCTGCAAATAAAATCGGAGAGGTGGTTTTGGCTATGTCTCCATGAAGTTAAGGTTCTCACTTTGTTCTGCAGAGGATATATGGCCCCTGAATACGCACTATGGGGCTGCTTGACCTACAAAGCAGATGTCTACAGTTTTGGAGTTCTTGCATTAGAGATTGCTGCTGGAAAAAGCAATATGACATATCGCCCCAATGAGAAATTTGTGTGCCTCCTAGATTGGGTAAGGCCTCCTAATCCCTCATAACTGAATAGCACGATCATTTCATCTAAAAGTTTCATTCTGTCTTCAACACATGTGTCTTGCATTTTATTAAATTCAATTGTATATATATTCAGGCCCTTGTTCTACAAAAGCAAGGAAAACTGAAGGAAGTGGTAGATGCAACATTGGGCAGTAATTTGAACGAGGACGAAGCTCTAAGGATGTTAAATGTAGTTTTGCTATGTACCAGTCCATCTCCAGCACTTAGGCCAACCATATCTGCTGTAGGCAACCATGTCTGAGTTTACTATGGAATCAAGATTCTATGATGATTAGGATCTCGTCAAGTTAAGAGACAAGTATGAAGATACGAACGAAAGCAAACCACTTACACATTCATCAAATACTATTACAACGAGAGATTGCTCTTACACTACCCCTACATCAGCTTAAATTCATACTATTTGCCTATATATAAATGTTCGTGAGACAATATTTTCTTGGTGGTTTATCAAACATAAGATATTTTGTGTGCAACTGTTGTAATTATGAGGTGAATTGTACTGAGCATCCATTGCTAACTATATATAACATTTAAGACGGTTTGGATTGGAAACAAGTTATTTTCATTCTCTTTTTTTTTTAAAAAAAAAAACTAAAGCATAGGCGTCCCTAGAATAAAAACTTGCTCAACAGCACAGCCACTGATGAGGGGGCCATCTTCTCAATTTCATTCACACAGTAAATACAAATCACTAAGGTATCATCATACAAACATATCTAGATGACTGAATTTTCTATAGTTATTATACTGAATTTTCTATAGATATTATACACTTTGTAGGACTTTATTAATTGGATATGATAAAACTTAAACGGTGTATTTCAAAAATTATGCCGAGTAACTTCTTTTCTCAAATAAGTGAGAATTGTAAATGATTTTCTTTGTAGATATTATACACTATATAATAGGAAATAATCACGTAGTAGGATTTGACTGGATATAACAAAAACTAACTCTAAACAGAAATTGATCAAACACAACAATGATATATGTTCCTTTTACATTATTTCTACTTGTCGCTCGCTGCCAAACAGAACCCAGAAACCATAGCTTCTAAATATTTCATCAACTGGTGTAAACGTTTCCATCATCGGGATGCCAAAAACTATAAACATCGCAACTCGTGGATATTATTCTATCTTGTCCATACTCTTGGTAAAAAGTTTCCTATTTATGGAGGAATATGTTAAAACTGAGTGTCAATCTATAGTATATAACAGGGGAAAGAATTGTTTTGCTTATTATTAGGACAAGTAAGGAATATATATATACTAACCTTCAAAGTTGAAATATCGTAATGGTTGAGTTTTCTATAGAATAAGGAAAAATAGAATAAAGGTTGTTCATATTGTTTAAGCAAAGAAAATAATATTCCTCCATATCAAGCTAGCCCAAATACAAAGTTTCGTCTCCTAAGACAATAATATAAATAAACATAGTAAAAATCTTTGGAGAACATAATAAAAACAGTTTTCTCTATCCTTATTTTAATTTCTGTTAGCAATTTAAAAACATAGTAATAATGGAGAGCCAGCTTTCCCATGATAATGAACAATTAGGGTCTCGAGATATTGAAAATCAACTTCCCAACCCTCCACCATCTGTTGGTAAGTTCACAACTATCTTTCTCTAGATAATGTAAACTAATGTACATGGATGATATTTGAATGATAAAATTAAGATACTATATGTTATAATAAAATATGTTATACATCTCATCCTAAGTTCATTTTCTTGTTATATATCATAACTGTATATATATATATATTGTATTTTTCAGCATATTAGAGCGAGGAAAAAATTGAAGGAGTGGTGTATCTGACTTGAAATGTGGTGTGAAATAATTAATTAGTGATACAATATGTAATTATTTCAAACTATAGAGTGGATTAGTGAATATGGGTAGGAACTTTTGTGTCATTAGATAGTTTCTCCTTATTTTTATTTGGGTGGGTGGGTGGGTTAGGGGTT